TTAGAATCCCCCTGTCTCTGCCTCCCCAATGTTGATTCTAGGCACATGCTGCTGCCCTGGCTTTTGAAAATATGTGTGCTGTGCATCAGAATTCAGATATTCTTGTGATTGCCACGGGAACTCTTCCCATTGAACCATTTCCCTAGTCTCTCTCACTTTATGTCTAAACCTGTAAAATTCCCTAGCATGTTTTAAGGCTTTGGAAATTGTGGCCCATCCCACTTCTTCATCTGAATCTTTACCATCTACTCCCCCCACTCACCACATCCTGTCCACTGTAGCAGGCTCTTGGTTTTCTGGACTGCCACACTCCTGCCTTGTCCCTCATTCCTCTTGGCTTCCTGTGGCCACATCCTTTGCAGAATGGGCTTCCTGCTTCTTTCCTTCTTCAGGTCCCCTTGTCCTTTGACTTTCCCCCTGATTTCTGGAGTGACTTTGGCCCATGTGTTATGTATTTCTGAATCCTCCACTGTGATTGTAAATATGCACAACTGTGAAATCATTTTTGCATCTGTGTTCTTCACCCAACAATAACGTAGCACCCAAGTGCTACCATATCAGGAACTGTGCAAATACCATGCACTATAAATGGCCAATGTTCAGAATAAAGCCCAGTGCACAATAAGCTTAAACAATGGAACAAATGAACATTTTATAAGTAATTGTCTGATACAACTTTCAGAGACCAAATTGTTCTGCTATTCACATCCAGACCTTGATTCTTCTTGTTCTGGCCTGAGTGGACATGAATTATATTATCTAGTGCATGTGTTTGCTATGCATGCACACAGCAGGTTTTATACAATAGCTTCTGCTTTCATAAAAACAAGACCAGATAATCGCTATGCAATGGAAATCTTTACTTGGTCTCCGAATTCAATTTAAATGATTTAGTATAATATGAAAAAATTAAAATTTGTCCTATGTATGCAATAATAGAACACACATTAACTCTTCAACTTTAAGTTAACTTAAAAGTAATATATGCTTTAAGGTTAAAAAACCCACAAATACCCAAACAAACAAACCAAAAACAAGACAAAATGGTTTTACTGCTAGGAAATGTCCCCAGGGTTAAAAAATCACCAGTGCATGATCCTCAGTAAAGTGAATGTGGCTCTCTTTCCCTAGAGGTCTCAGTACCCAGACAACAAGCCGAGGACTCGTGTCACTGTCCTTTGGCTCTTGAGTAACCCTGCTGAACCAGACAACTGAAGAACAAATTGCAGCCAATAGCAAAGAAGATTTTTCGGATGCAAAAATCTGACCTTTGAGAACCTCTGGCTTGAATATCTTTCTGTCAGGCTGCAGATGACTGGCCTTATTCAAAAATGAATATTTCCACACTGTATCATTACTATTGCTTCCACAATCATGGTTTTAAGCAGAATATGTACAAAACCCAGTTGCTTTTGCAAGCTCTATTCTGGAATAAGTCATTTACTAAAAGAAAGAGAATACATCTAATTCAATATGTTTTTGTACCTATGCTCAAAATCTTCTGCTTTTCATTTTACCACCTTATATACCACCTGTAACATTACAAATGAATGTCACACTTTGAGGGAAGTTCAAACACAAACTGAGCTCCCAGACAGAACTATATTTGGGTGGTATCGAGTCGCTCCTTTTAGCTACTGACCTGCACACTTCGAAAGTATCAGACTCATCATCATAGGCATTGGGAGGCTTCTGAGCAGAGGTATTCACTTGGAACCCTGAGTCATCCACACACTCGCCCCCTTCTGTAGCTGCCAGGATTTCAGTATTCGAATCAATTTCCGACAATCTCTTAGTGATTGTTTCTTTTTCTCTAAGTGTGTGCAAGTAAGATTCTCTGTGGCAGTATCTGCCTTTACTTTCTGAATGGCTCCCTTCGAGTCTCTTCTCCTCCAAGGACCCCCGTGGCAGGGGAGAACTGCGTTCTTGGTACCTTATCACTTTTCCTCTACAGATGTCTAAAGAATGGCTCCCACATTCCATCATCTCTTGGTGCTTTTCACCTTTGGATCCCTGCTCAACAAGTTCAAGTCTGTCGGAAGTGGAGGACACATCCAAGCTTCCACACGATTTGTTATTATTTCTCCTTCTTCGAGACAGCCTGAATTTCATCTGAGCTCGTCTTTTTGCCTGAACCCAGTGACTCTCATCTGTGGAGGATGAATCTGATGACTCCATATTAAGTTCTCTCCAGCTGGGACTTGAGATCTGGAGGTGAAAGTCATTTCTTCTCACCTTGGCTTGCTCTTCAGAATGCTCATATCTCTGAGAGACCCTCCTCCTCCTCCTAGGCTTCTGTTTTATTGTTGTCTTACCAGATTCCTTTCTAGCATGGCTCAGCACCATGACAGGGGTGCAATGCTCAAATGATTCTTCTGACATGTCATGCAAGATGGAAGATCTAGACAAGGCATCAGGCCAAGGGTGAGGAATGGGAATGAAAAGGAAAGTCATGGGAAAACAAAGAGAGAAAGAGAGAGAATGATGAAAATGACAGCATGGCCAGAGGTTGGTAAATAAAGACAAGCTGAAGGAAAGCTAAGCGGGGGTTGGGACGTGAGATCCACAGACACCATAAAGCAAGAGCCACCAGTTCTCAGGCCATGAAACAAAACTACAAAATACTGCTCTAAGGAATACTGAATAGGATCATTTACCCAAGACTTACCTGCAGATGTCCTGAGTAGATGGACAGACAGACAACCTTGACTGGCTCCTGGGAGCTGTCCCTGTGGTTGGACTGCTTGCCTGGAGAAACAAGTTAGATAATTTGGCATCTTGATTAAGGTAATACATGGTTGATATCTTGCTTTTTTTCCACATATTTAAAAAATTGCAACAAACGTGGCTGCTGGTCATGTTGCTCATAATGCAGCTCATTGAATGTGGGAAGTCAGTGGACTTGTTTTGCAAAAGTAAAACTCATTTGAGGAACTTGAAACAGCTGATGTACTGTACTGCTCTGCTGTTGCTTCATTTGTGAGAGAGGAAGGTGATTCCACAAGTTTCTATTCTATTTACCATAAGCACTGGAGTGGAATAGCTCAATTTGCCTGGGAAACAAATGAGTGTTTAAAGGTCCCAATGAAGCCAAGGATTACAATGTCAAAATGTGAGAAGGGTCATGATAGGCATGTGAATAATCAAATTGTCACCAGGTTGCTAGATAATACTTTGAGTTAGCAACAAGGCCCCATGAGACCATATATTTGAAAACACGGTAACATTTAAAAGCCTGAAGCTACTCTTGTGGTGAATTCATTATTGGAGTAAACAAACCCATCTTTCAAAACAATATTAACCTTCCGTACTTGTTTGTCCCTCTCTATGACATACTAAGTTTGGGGCTAAGAGCCTGAAATAATAGAGATGGTTAGCACAAAGTTCAGTACATTTCACCAAATTCTTTCTTTTGAAATCTAACTGTTCTTGACTCCACTTGACTTCTTCATACTGTTGTGTTTATTGCAGACAATGCTGATAGGTTGAAGCTTGGGTGGACTGGTGATTCACTATTGTACTTAAACTTAAACTGTGGCTTTATCTAATCTTTGCAATAATTTCACACATGGAAAATAATTGACAGGTTTGAGTTATTTAATACCACTTCTGTATATTCAATTAGCACAATATGTGTTTGTAGTAAACACTATAATTATGTCTAAGTACAGTTGAGGACACTGAGAAATTGAAGTGGCTTTTTTGTTAAGACACAGAAGCATGCACCAAGAGTCAGGCTTTGTTTTTCTATGTTCTAATCACCAGAGATGCAGCCTCTCACCTTTGAACAAGAAAAATGAAACTAATGACAGGTACACATTCTGGCGTGACTGCATCCGTAAAATACATAATTTTGTCACTAAGAAAATAACACTAAGAGTAGAAAGATTTCAAATTTCAAAGTATTTCTCAAAATTCTTGTGTTAGAAATATGGGAATTGTCACACACTTAGGGTCTGTTGATTCAGAAAATTCTAAACCAAGAGGAGAAAAACTTCTTAAGTATTCAGAGTTGGCTGAAAACTGGCACTCTAAGGTCAACAATCTGATCCCTAGATATTCACTCTCTTTTTCTCTCTCTTTCCCTCTCTCTCTGTACTGGAGACTTATGTTCCCTTGAGTTTGCTGTGCAGTCGAAAATTACCTTGAATTTATGATCTGCCTGTCTCTACCCCTCAAGTTCTTGGAGTATGCCACTACATTGGACTTCTAATCTCTGGATCTTGTAGATGTGCTTTCTTCCATGGCAAAAGAGTCTTTATAAACTTGATTAAACTAGGGATTTTGACATAGAGAGATTTTTCTGAAAATTCCCAGCAGGTTCAAGGCAATTGTAGGACTCTATAAGAGGGAGACAGTGGGATTAAGGTAGAGAAAATGAAGGATGGAGAAGAGGTCAGACAGAAGGCCTGTGCTTGGGAAGGTAAAGGCTCTGAGGTAAGGAATTCTAGTGCCCTGGAGATGCTGGAAAAGGTTAGAAAATGCATCCCTCCCTTGTGTCTACAGAAGAAAGTGAGCTTGTCAGCACCTTGATATTATCCCAATGGGAACTGTGTTTGGCTTGTGATCCCTAGAATCATAAGACAATAAGTTTGTGTATAATGTCAACTAGTTTTTGTTAGTCTTATATCTGTTATAGAAAATTTCATGTTTTTCTATTCTTTGGCTGACAATAAATTGGAGAGGGTTTGTCTCACATTAAAAGGCAAGTGGGGTTCATTAAAGAAGAGACGCAGACATTCCAGGGAGGTGAAACAATGTGCTGAAAGGAAAACATTGTGAACATGTTCTCAATCTGATACATGACTTCTGTGGACTTCTGATTTGTACATTTCCAGCACCTCATGAATATTGTCTCTCGTGATCTTTGAACATCTTTCAATACCAACGCATGTTCCATGGTATTCAGTATCTGTATCAAGACTCCTTTCAAGTTATTATTTTTTCTTTCAAAATAACACTGTTTTGAGCTGCCAAGATGGCTTAGTTGATAAAGGTATTTGCTGTCAAGCCTGATGACCTGAAGTTAGTTATCTGTACCCATATGGAACACAGAAAGCACTAGGTCCTGTAAATTGACCTCTCACCCCCTCATATGAACTATTGGGGTATAGGCATGTCCCAATAGATAAACAAGCAAAAAATTACAGAAAAAGGCAATAAACAATTTAAATTCATAAAATACCATCTCTGTATTCTTTCAACAGGTATACAAGAACATTTATAAACTGTATTTCTGTTCATTAACCAATAATGGTACTTTCCTTAGATTTGTATCTTATACCCCTCACATATCCCTAGAGATTAGTAGGGATTTCTGAACAGACTAAGCACTGAGTGAAAATTATTTTTGAAGATTAATTCTTTCCCACTTAAAAAAAATGAATGAGGCCACAAGTGTGCTCAAATTGCTGTTGATATTATCGTGGTGAGCACAGGTATGTGTGAGTCTCAAGCTGTGCAAAGATGATGAGAGAGGCATAATAATCACAAACTCATTTTGTAATCTCATGTGTCTGCACAGTAGTACATGTTATATTAGGGCAAACATTTATCATTGAATAAATACACAGCTTTCCTTTGTAGAGTGTTTGGGTCCACAGTGACAACATTTTGTTATTAGGAAACAGTCCATTGTCCCATTAAGTATACTCAGATAGCTCAAATCGAAGATTATGTTATCCATGATCATCTGGTTATCTCAACAGAAGATAACACCTGTGTTCTTGAGCATTTCCTGAACTTACCTACATGCTGGTTGCTTCCCACCCACAGTTGTCCCTATCTCCTTCTCTGGTCTTGGTCTCTTCTGGTTCCTTTCTTTTATGACAAGAATCTGAAGTGTACAATAAGTTAATATCCCAGTGAGTAACTCCTAGACAAGGATCAATGGGTGAATCTCTCTCCTCTCTGCAGAAGTGTCAGTTCTAGAAAGTCCACGGAGATTCTAGAATCTTTCAACAGGTCTCTAGCTGATTAAAAGCTAGTTTCCCTCTACTATTAATGTGTGCATGGGGCTTTCTTATTCTCTGTCTTACATTTTCCATGTCTTGTTTTTGTTGTCATTTGATTGTCTAGTTTATAAAAGGCTGCCTGCAGTCCACTAAGAGTATGTAGGTGAGACTGAGGTTATGTTGACTCCTTTCATAGAAATTGAGAGAAAATGAATCTTGTTTATTTCACTTTTGATTTATTTATTCAGGAAACATGAATTAATGGCCCATATAATACAGCAAGTACTGTGATGAATTAAGAAAGAACATCTAAAGGATTTTTGGTTTCAGGGAGATGTATATAATGTGTATATACATGTGTATATATACATGTATATAATGTGTATATATAGAGCCTGCTGACAGGGAGCCTGATGAAGAAAGAGTGACTATCATAGAGTAGAGAGGGGTTTAAAGTTCCTAGAGTAGCCAATACTTAAACTAAAAAGGAATAATGAGAGTAAAATGAAAGGAGCTGTGCAGAGAGGGATGAGTGTGTAAGTGTGTACATTCAAGAATACTAATCATCTTTACCCAGTGCAGTTAAGGTATGAAAATTTAACACTGCCATGGACCTTTGAAGTGATCTGACATTTTAAAAGATTTTATCTTTATGTTTATGTGACATGTTTGTGTGTGTGTGTGTGTGTGTGTGTGTGTGTGTGTGTGTGTCCTATGTGTAGGTGCTGGTGGAGAATAGAAGAAGGCATCATGTACATTGGGTCTAGAGTTACAGGTGGTTGTGAGTTCCCCGAAGGGCATTCTGGAAATCAAATTCAGGCCCCCTGAAAGAGTAGCAAACACTCTTAATTGCTAAGCCACCTCTTCATTTCTGACCCTGTATTTTGACAACTTATTTGTAGGGCAATTGTTAAACTTTATTGAAATAGGAGATATCTATATAATATATAGTAAGAATCCTATTCATAAAAATAAATTTTGCTAAAATCCTTGTAAAATTGTTCAAAGACAAATTTCTACAAGGGTGGTCACTTTAGCTATTTGTAAAATCAAGAAATTAGAGGTAACCCAAATGTTTAATTATCTACTAGGAAATATACAAGCTAGTAAATAAAATCAGGTATAGCATACATATGCACATATATTCCTATGCCAGCATTTCAATGCTAATTTTAACTTGTTTTCACTTTAAAAATTTCTTTTTGATATTGATTGTATGTGACACTGTTATAGACGTATATTTCAAACAGTTATACAAATGTACATTGAACATATCCTACCCTATATCATCCTATTATAAACACACACTTTTTAAATATATTACAATTTCAAAATTGTATACAGTGTAATCTTGCTTGAGCAATTTTGTTGGTGTTGGTTGCATGTTCACATGAATATGCAAAAATCTGGAGATGGTGATCAACTCTGGCTGGAAATGTTATGAAAAATCTTATTTTTTATTGTTATGTTTCTATACTTTAAAATTGCTAATTTTAATAATAAGAATAATTTTACATATTGACAAATATTCGGATTTCTCTCTCTTTAATATCGAAGTGATTGTCCTTATTTACTCAACATTTTGGTTAAACATGCCCCTCTTCACTTAGATATAGTCATTACACTAAATAAAAGTAGAGTTAATATAATGACATGAATTCATTGATCTTATGACCATTTTGTAGAGATCCCAAAGTCGTAATGAGATGTCAAGATGTAAGAACTCTGTATTTATTCTTAGGAAATCATGTTTGGGTTGATTAATGGAATCTGTCCTGTTTCCTTGAAGAATGT